GAGAAAAATTATCAGCCATTCCAGAATTCAGAAGACCTCATCTTCAGATTTCTGGGGGGGCAGAGGGAAATAGAGAAATGGCACAACTGATCTAATACCCTTCAGCTCAGCCGAAGTTTGATACTTATGTCAGTTTTTTCACAAGTTGAAAACATCCGAGTACAAACGGCAAAAAGAAGTCTCAGCAGAAATGATTCTCGCTAGCCGAAGTTCTGCACTTAGCAAATATTTGAAAGATCATTCAAAGAAAGCAGTAAAGTGCGAAGACTGGTAAAGCGAAGAGAAAAAAAAATACACGAGAAAGCTGAGAAAGTGAACTTCTTTGAAATAAAAATGTTGAATTACAAAAATAGTCGGCAGCCGCCCACAAGCGGAAAGTAACAGCTGCCGAAATACGTACAGGCAAAATAAAAATATAATAAGCTGTTGTACGATAAGGCAAGCTGAAGCAAAAAAAAACAAAAGGCAAAAATTCAGAAAGCGGCAAGTCTAAAGTTGAGCGCATGATGAACCGCAAGATTCTGAAGACGACTGCCCGAGTTCCTATGCTTCAGCCTGAGGATCAGACTGATCAGCTTCATTGGGCCCAATGGTGGTCTCAGCTCCAGCAGCAGAAGAAGCAGGCTTTGCACTCTGCCGAGCCTCCCTTTCCCTCTGCTCAGCCTCCAACTCCATCCTCTCAGCTTCTTCCTCGGCTTCCTCAGCCTTAAGGATTTCAGCTTCGATTGGAGTGGCATACTTCATGTGAGGGTCTTCGGGATCTTGGACCCATTCAGCACATTTGGACCAGTCCAGCTTCGGCTCAGCATGAAGGCAGACCCTTCGGCACACTCTGAACCCGTTTCTAAAACCCATTTCATACTCTTCTTGGGTATAGATACGGACTTTGAGTAGAGCCTCAGCATCGGCCAACTTCTTCTTCGTCTCCTCCAAGTCTTCCTCGGATCTCTTCAGCTCATCGACGAGCTTGGAGGAGGAGCCTTTCAGCTCGGTAAACTCTTGCTGAACCCGGGAAGCCTCGGCCTGAACTTGGACCATTTCTTCCTTCTTGGCAGTGAGCTGATCCTCAGCCTCTTGTAGCTTAACTCTTTGAGCTTCAGCAGCAGCAGCAGCCTCTGAGAGTTGGACGTCTTTGGCCAAGAGCAACTCTTCAGCAGCCATTCGGCTGGCTTCAAGAGCCTCTAGACGCTGCTGCACTTCAGCTTGTGCAGCAGTTCCTTCTTGAATTCGGCTCTCAATAGCAGCCTTGAATTTGGAGACGTCCACTCCCATATGCTCCTGGAGGAATTTTTCCCCTTCCATCAGTGGGGGAAAAACCTCCATCTCCATAGCATCACAGAAGGTTTTCAGAGCTTCGGCAGCTTTTTTACCGTACTCCTCAACCTCCTGCTGCTTCTCTTCAGCTGCTGCTTGCTTCAGCTTAGCAAGCTTAACTTCCTCTTCAGCCACCTTCCTTTCGTGCACAGCAGCGTCAACCCTATCTTGTAGGGTATCAATCAGCTCTACAGTGAGAGTCTGATTGTGCACGAACTGAAAACAGGGGCACAAGTTAAAAAAGTAAAAAATAATAGCTGAAAGGTTGAGTTCAGAAAGAAATCAAGGCAAGGAAAATTACCTGCATCATCAGCAGTTGGTTAGACCTGGCTGGGTCAGGAACTGATCTACTGGATTCGCCCATCCCAGCAGTGGCCTTCAGCGACCAGATCCTTGCCCTGTCTACTTCGGACATGCCAGCAAAATTGCCGAAGTAGGCTGCAGCTCCTTCTCGGTTTTGACCCCATATGAGGTCCCAGATGTGATCTGGGATTGGAATTCGGGGGGCCGAGAAACCCATTTCTCCAGAATGCAGAGTCTGGAAAGAAGGGAAGGACGACGATGGAGCTTGATTAGCTTTGGTTGTCTCAGCATCGTCCTTCTCAGAGGAGTCAAGTACTATGACCTCCTCTTCTTCAGGGGTGAGGACGAAAGCCTCAACCTCTCTTGCGATATCTGCCGTGAAGCCTTCAGCACTTGACATCACGGCATCTTTATTTTCGTGCTCAGCAGCACTCTCCTTGATTTCTTCTTGGACCCCTCCCTTAGGTTCGGGAGTTCTCTGATCCACCTCCATCTCAGGAGGTGGCGGAGGGGTCTTTTGAAGAGATTGGGGTGTTGGCTGGGGAACCCTCGGCGATCCATTGCCTTCCTCAGGTTCCCTTATTGCGACGCCGATGGTCATCAGCCTCTGCTGAAAGTCATGAGGGCCGATGATGGCCATCCTTCGGCGCCTTTTCAGAAGGGGCTGCTCGTCCATATCTGAGTCTGAAGACTCTTGTATTTGATCTTCGGGACGAACAGGAGCTTTGCCTTCTCTGTGTCTGTTACTCTCTTCAGACTGTAACAGACAGGGGGGAAGAAGAGTGTGAGTAAAAAAAAAAAAAAGAAGAAAGACAAAGTTAAGTCTAAAGGCTCACCGAGGTCTTCAGCAAAGCCTCGTCTTCTTCAGCTGCCCTAGCCGCAGCTTCTTCAGCAACTCTGGAGGACCCTTCTCCACCTTCACAAGCTTCAATAACCCGTGCAACCTCTTCGGCTGTACGGGCAGCTTCAGCTTCTTCTTCCAGCAGCTGAAACAAGGGATCTCTCTTCTTCCACCAAGGCTTCTGCCTCTGATACAGAGCAACAGCCTCAATTTGGAAGTGGGAAGAGTCTAGGTGAACCTTTCGGCGCCTTGGTTCAGTGATAGGGGGAGCCCGATCAGTTACGACTCGTTCTCGGTTGACGCCAAGGCGAGCGTAATCAATGCCGACGTTGGTCTCGTCCCGTTCTGAAAAAGAAAAGGGGAGAAGTCAATTCAGTTAGTTCGGCACATCACAAGAAAGCAAAATGAAAGAAGAAAAGAGATAATTAAAAGGCCTCGGCCCCAGCCGAAGAAGATTACCATCCCTAAACTTTCGGCTGAGGCCGACAGCTGCCAGCATATTCTCTTGGAAAACATAGTGCGTATCGGGGAGCCAAGTCTCCGGGATATGCTGCATTCGGCCGCTGCCTCCCCGGTTCGGCAGCTTGCCGAAGATGTTCTGCTGATTAAGGTTCGGGTCTGGCCCGCTATCTTCGGGAGGACCTAAACTTCCCATATCAGGATCCGGCTCGGCAAGATACCGGGGAGCGCTGAAAACGTAAGGGTGGCTCGGCTCCGTGGGTGCCCTAACCCAAATCCATTGACCTCTCCAGTCCTTGTCTGAAGAGTCATTTGGCCACATGGTCAAGTATTGGGGCCGGGACTCAATCCGATACCACCCAGAACCATGGCTTCCGTGCCCACTCTGAATATTTGGCACTAGCCGATGGAGCTTTCTGAAGCAGTGCAGGTTCGGCACGTATCTGAAGAACTTGCAGACCCATAAGTACGTCATTACCCTTCGGATGCTGGTGGGGGTCAGCTGGCACAGGGAAATGTTGTAATGGATCAGCAAGTCTCGGACGAAAACGTCCAAAGGGAACCTCAGCCCATACTGAAGCTGTCTCGTGTACACCCCCACATACCCCGGGGGTGGACGATGGATTCTATCGGATGCTGAGGGCATTCGGCACCAATATCCATCAGCTTCAAAAATGCCGTAGTGCAACTCAATTTGCTCGGCAAATCGATATTGATCGGCGTTCTCTACCCACCATGAGTAGGGGCGGTTCTTTATCATGGCCGAAGCGACTTCGGCATTCTCCCACTCTGAAAACCCAGGGAGGATATCCCAAAGGACAGCGGGAATTTCATCGTCCCGTCCAGAAGCACTCGGCTCATCCGTTCTCTGAGGAGGAGCCGAAGAAATGGGAGTCGCCCTAACCCCTTCAGCAGGGTCAGACTCTGTCCTTCGTCCATTCCAGGTCCCAATCCTGTCCCTGGGATCGGGGATTAGCCTTGCTCTTCTTGGAGCACGGGCTCCACCTCTAACTCCCCTCACCATTGACGAATTTCGAAGGAAAAAGTCGAAAAAGGGGAAAGAGTGCAAAGTCGAAGAAAGATGAAATAAAATCAAAGGAATTTACCTTGATCTGAAGCAAAAGCCGCCGATTTACGAATTGGTAGTGACAAGTCTCAGCTTCTAAGCTTAATGCTCGGGGAATTTGCGAAGTTTTGATGCGGGCTCTTGAGCGTTCTTGAGAATTCTGGGTTTGTGTTGATGAGTGAGTGGGGAGAGAAGACGCGCCTCTATTTATATCTCCAGAAATGGGAATTCAAGGAGTCTGCGTTTCAATTTCTCTCAAGCACCCCACTAAGTAACCGTTAAACACACGACCTTGCAGTTAAGTCGCCCACTACCCGTCCAACTTCCGCAATTATCCACATTAACTGTTGTTATCTCATTAATCATGGGTTAATTACGGTTCAAATTCACATTTTTGGATTAACAAATCATTCACTTCCCACCTTTTCTGATTAAATCAAACCCGACCCGTCATCCTTCCAAATCGGGTCTGGGGGGCAAGTTGTTTGGGTCCAATTTAGTCCAATTGGGCCTGGTCACTGAATGATCCAATTAAAAGCCCAAGGTTAAGGTTCAACTCTCCAAATGTGCTAAAGTCAAAAATCAAACATCCTCAAAGCCATGTCAAGGTCAGTCAACGGCCCAATCAGCTTGGCCCAGCCCAACTGACTTCCGGGCCCAATCCGCCTCCTTCATTAGCCAAGATATAAAAGCCAACAATTTGGTCAATTCTTGGTAAGACAATAAAGCCTCAAGCAACTAAACTCTTGCACAGCTTTCTCTCTCGAATATACTGACTTAAGCATCGGAGGGGCCTTCCTCGGCGTCCCCCCCGAGGCTAGTTTACGTGTATTTGTTGTGCAGGAAACCCTCGGCTCCTGCGTCGTTCGGACCGAGACCAAGTTCCCTCAAGATAAAAGGATCTTCCGAGATTCGATTGTTTTCATCCGAAACAGTAGTAGTAGTATGTTATGTTATGTTATGTTATGTTATGTTATGTTATGAATTGTGATGATGTTGAATTGGTTGGTTGGTTAGGTTTTCTAGGGTTACTACTAGCAGTATCATCTTATGGTCAATGTTATTGCCTTCTTAGGGAAAACTTATTGAATTTGTGTGTTACTCTTATCTATCTCAGGACAAATTAAATTAGTGTATGATGATATATTAATTGAATAAAATTAATTAAGTGGCTTTAAATATAAATGAATTAATTTAGTCGAGTTGAGTGATTATAAGTAATTAATAAAGTCAATGCAATTTGTAGGCTGGTCAGCTGGTGCGAGTTCAATAAGTAGTTTTATAATGTTATTTCTTATTAATAATGATTTATTTTGAGATAGTTTCGTATGGAAAAATTTGTGATATGGTTTTGTATTTGTGGTGTAGATGACTAGATTCATGGTATATATCTAATTGAAATTAACAAAGGGAAAATGTGCACGAGCTTTGAAATTCCCAAGTTAAAGTTGTGGTTGATTATGTATTTAGTAGTTAATCTAATATATGTTACAAGTAAGATTAGAAGAATCTTATTAGTACGTATGTACTAGTACTAAATTGAGCATGTTTTTTTTATTCATTAGTTAAATGCAACTGTTGTTTAACTGCATTTAGTACTGCTTAATATGTTAAAGATATACAGAAATTGTTATGAGTTTGACTACTGTTGTATACTGCTTAAAGTAGAAGCTAATAAGCTTTGATATCTTTGACCAAAAAATGAAGATAAAAAACAGTTTAGACTGAGAAACAAGAGAATGACAAAACAAAAAGAATATGTTATTCCTAAATTTCCCAGAAAATAGTGATTTCCATTACTTTAATTAGGGGTAGAGATACATCAGTGTTTGATTTAAATGCTTGTTATTATTATAGAGTTCCTAGTTGAATTTAGGACATACATATTTTTATATAAATTCTAGTATGTATATATGGTGATGAAGATCAAATGAATTTAAATAAGTGCAATATAAGGGCTTGTTCTCTTCAGCTTAATTTTAGCTTAGCTTAATTTCAGTTCAGTTCAATTCAGCTCAGCTTAGCTTACTTCAGATTAGTTTCAGTTCCTAATTTCCTTCTCTCATGAACAGTATAGTCAGCTCAGTTCAGTTCAGTTCAGCTCATTAAATCACAATAGACCCTAAGTTCACATAAATCTAGATTAATACAACAAACCCTAAAACTTAAATGCTATAAATATTACTGACCATGCATAATAGATTTATAGTATTATGCTCATTACACTATAGTCTATAATTAACTAGCATCTTTTTATTTTATTAATAAAATCTCTCCTTAATTAGTTCATTCATTTTGTTAATTAGTTCATTCATTTTGATACTGTGTATGAATTAATTTCTTGAGAATTTGTCCATAAAAGGTTTGTTAGGCAAGAATCATTGAAAACACCCAATCTGATGATCTTTTATTTAATTTAATCAGGGAATGCTACCCTATTATTTAGAGAATCTGTTAAATTTAATTTGCTTTGCTCGAGCTTAATTAGTGCTATATTGATATTTGTTGAAGGTCTTCTTTAATTGAAAAGGCAATAAGTTACCTAATATTTAGCATTAAACTAATTAATTAGCATGTTATCATGCTTGTTTGATAACTTTTCAATTAGCATTTTGTGTAACTTTCAAAAGTTGGGATTTTTTAATTGGAAAAAAAACCATTTTGGCCTACAAAGTCATTACCAAACACTTTATTTTGAAGATAACTGTTAATTCATTTCAATCTAATTGTATAAATATTAGATGTTATACCAATACATTCTAATATGAGATATTAAGGGGAAATGAACTGAACTTAACTAAACTGAACTGAACTTATTAGGCTTAACTGAAATGAAATGAATATTTTATGAGAGAAGAAAATTAAGAGCTGAATTGAACTAAACTGAACTCACATATTCTAAATGTGTTGTTTTTATGAGAGTGACGAATAACTAATAAGTAGTTAAATTTTCTTCTCCATTCATTCTAGGGGATCCTAGTTAGTCAAATTTATAAAGGGGTCACCCCTAGTAGTAGTAAACTAGTAATGCATATGCATTGATGTTGGTCAGATAATCGATCTACTGTAATAAACGAAGCATTGTCTCTGGTTCTCTGAGAAATAAGATTGATAAAAGTTATCTAATAACTATAAATGACTTGGTCTATGAGCTATGAATAGTAAGTTGTCAGACTGCATATTTTTTTCAGTGCATATGTTTATTAACTAGGTGGTTTTACCTTGTGGATATTAACTTGTGTGATCTCTATTTCAATGAAATTTGAATGATAATTGGATCAAAAATTCACAATGAAACATGCATATACAACTAGTATACACTTTATATGTTTACAATTTATTATAAACCTCATAGTAGGGATGGATATAAACACCAACTAGTCTCATAGACCTTTGATCCATCTTTAAGATGGATTACATCTTTGATTATATGAAGTATACGTGTATAATAATTTCAAAATGATTAAATACATAATAGTGTAATTCACAGTATTAGAGTTTACCGGAGAGTAAAATTCGTTCTTCACTGGATGCTACATTAATATGCATATTATTACTCCATGTATGATTTATGAGTGTAATACAATTCACCTTGTAGAATTGGAAGGAGTGTACAATATTTTGATATTAGGGTAACTTGATCAAGTCACCATCCCTACATTACTTCTAACGAATCAAGCATGTCCTATGTTATACATAGGATATTAGGATGATTTTCTAAGAGAAAAGCATGATTAAATAATTCTAAATTTAATCAATAGTATATCAAGCCGACAAGTTATCTATGATTAGATAATTATGTTTGCTAATCCTCATTGAATTATGTAATTACTAATAATTGTATGCTTTTAAAGATATGATAATTAGGATGACCCTTAAAGCCTTGACTATCTTGGTGAAGTTGATTAAGAAATTGCTAAACCGTAGGACCTTTTACAATTTTCATTCACTTTAAAAGATTCCAAGACAACCACTTTATAGATAAAAAGTAATCATTTAACTAAATACTTGAAGTTTTGAATTAAGCTTAGGTTTTTTTTTAAAAAAAAAAATAAAATAAAAAAATAATCAATATCTCTCAATTACTAATATGAATTTCTGTAGTGTATTAGATGATACGCTAAATGTATTTTCATTGTGAATTTCTGTAGTGTATTAGATGATACAAAATTGCTTATAATTGACATGATAGACCCTTTTTTTTCACCATTCATAGATTAAATTTGAGCATTTTATCGTTAAATGTTTATAAATAGGAGGTATTAATGTATATGTTTATTAGAGTAGTAATTTTTATTAGTACTTGGTTACATATCACATATGTGCTGAGTTTCATTGTTTTAATTACATATATATAAGGTTAAACTAGTATTTTATTTTATTGTACTTTATAATCCGTTGTAACGAGGGTTTGAATTAAGGCCTATTCTCATACGATTATTTTCAGCTCAGCTCTAATAAGTTCAGTTTAGTTTAGCTCTAATAAGTCCAGTTCAATTCAGTTCAGCTCCTAATGTCCTTCTCTTATAAAATACTTCCTCCGTTTTCTTTTACTTGCAACACACCTTTTAGGCACGCAATTTTAGGAGATGATTAGTGAGGGTAAACGAGCTATTTTATCAATATAATTTTTACACGAAGATTAGAATAGGGTTAAGTATCATTTGTAAAAATTATAATGAATAATTTATCCGTTTACATTACATAAACCCGACCTCAAAACACGTGCCACAAGGCTGTGTTGCAAGTAAAAAGAAACGGAGAAAGTATTCTTTTTAGTTCAGTTCAGCTCTAATAAGTTTAGCTCAGTTCAGTTCAACTCAGTTCAATTAATGGAAACAGACCCTTAATCAATGATCATGTAGACCCGGATACCTCAATGATCATATGACTAAAAATTTGTCATCTGTTTAAATAAATTATCAATTTAGTTCTCTACCTTGATTGTTATTGGATAATAAGGTGAATTGTCATTTGTCACCTAGATGTGATCAAACCATCAAAAACGTTGTATTTTTGGAATTACACATGATAGAATTATATGGCAAAAATAGCTAAGGTATCAAATAAAGGTACTATTATAGAATCTATGTAGTAATAAATAAATAAATTAGTATTTATGCAAATATTTACTGTACTATATAGCCAAAAAAAAATTAACTAAAATAGCAAAGAAAGAGGTATATATATAATTATAGTTAAAAACCATGAAATGTAATTTGGGTCATATGATTGTTCGATTGGTTGTCATAAAAATGATGATGATATTGAAGAGATTCTTTGAAAGAGTTGTCTCTTCAAAATCAATTAGAGCAGCCTTCACTCTCTTATCTTGTTAAATCAATTGAATGACAAGAGAGAAAAGAGTGAATGAGGCCATAAATCGCAATGAGTATGTAAAAGTCAAATCAAATCATTTCTAGATTTGTGGAATTGTTAAAATTGGCTATAATTGGTTAAATACTTGCAAATTACTCTATAATATCTTTGCATATTTCTACTAATATTATAATTAGGATTATGGGTTGTTTTCTTGTTTGTTATCAGATTTTATGGGTTTGTCTGTTTTAATTAAAAAAAAAATTAGGCACAATAAAAAAGTTAAGAATATTAAGTTTTGTTATGGAGTACAAATTGTACAATTGTACATGAAAATAAGCTATGCTACAGTTTTTATAAGAAAGACTAGATAATATTTTCCTCAAAAAATAAAAGACTAGATAATATAACTTAAGATGGTTACAGATATTTCAAATTAGTTACACTGAACAAAGTCTAATTTGCAATCTTGTTGGGTTAAACAACCTATACAAAATTGATATTAGTTAAATTCTTTAAGACTATGATTTCTACTTTGTTTAAATATTTGGCTTCAATAGATGTTTGAAATGTTGATACAAATGGACAATGAATAGTTTCATCTAAATCATACTGAAGTCAAAATTATTCGATTCGAGGTCCAACGTGAAAACATTTAGTTAAATGACTATTCTCTTTGTATTTAATTTAAGGACTCTATTTGCTTGACGCATATGTTGATTAATAAATTATTACTGAAGTTTATTGAGATGATAATCATAATTTATCTTTTAACAATTTATTAGTCAAATGTTTTGTATAACTTGCTCGTTCTTTCCGGCCTTAATAACAATCCAATAAGTTAAAACTAATGATACAATAACATGTAATTGTTTTCATCCTTTAATTTATTATAACAGTGTTATATTTTAATACAAAAATTTTATTTAATAAATGAATCACATTAGTATTGGAGACTTGCATTTGAAATTTCATCTATACCGTTGCTTTTTATGCAAAAAGTAAAACAATATGGGAATTATAATTCCTACCATGGTATTGGTAATTTGGTACATACAAAGATTTCTTCGCTTCTTTTTTTATTTTTTTTTGAAACCAATATTCTTCCTTTGTTGATAGGCAATAGTAAAAATATAATTTGAAAGATTAAAAAAACGGGCCAAGATCGGGCGGGTGGGGTCGAAGAAAGAGCAAAAAATGGGCAAAAGGGCAAAGTGGGGGTCATTTGCACGAGAATCCCGCAATCAACGGTCAATCAGATGGGACGTTGGGTTTGATATGACGTCTGTGCCCCTGTCCCACTCTTGGGTCCCACCAACCGTGCGGAGCCCTCTCATTTGCCCACGTGCATTTCTGCCATACATGTCGGTTATAATATCTCGCCTCCTTCGTTTTAAAATAGATGCATTAATATTAATAGCAAATTATTTAAACTTAATTAAAAGTCTGTTCTCTTCAAAAAAAAAAAAAAAAAAAAAAAAAGTTCAATTTAGAAAAAAATTGTCTCTTATAAGGGTAATCTAAGTATATATTACAACTGGTTTCAAAAAAAAAAAGTATATATTACAACTGAAATAGGCCCTATAAGTTTAAAATTCATGTAAACTCATATAACATAAGATAAGTTTAGATATAAGATAAGGTTTATTTCTTATAATCTTATTTATACTTAGGACTATTCAATAATAATTAAAGAAAAAAGAAGTTGAAAATAAGTAAAGTTTTTACTTATGAATAGAAAAAATAAGGGTTTATCGATCAAGTTCTAATCATAACTTAGTAGATGATTCCCACCACTTCCACGAAGTAATAACTTCATATGATTCAATTAGTTCAGCTTAAGGTATGTTCTTATACGTTTATTTTCAGTTCAGTTCAACTCAGTTCAGTTCAGCTCGTAATTTCTTTTCTTATAAAATATTCAGTTCAGCTCAATTCAGCTAGCTCAACTCAGTTCAGCTCAGCTCAGTTCAGTTCAGTTGATTTCATTTTATTAATACATGCCATTAGTGTACTATGATATAAGAACAAAATGTTTTGTTGAAAATAGTGCATTCTAAGAGAAGGGTTGATAAATTGTGTAAATTTGTTTAGTTGAATTAAGTTCAATTATTGTCGCTAAGGTTTAAACCGGTTGTATAGATAAGGTAAATCACGGGCTAGTTAGGTTAAATGTTTAGAACACATGTTTGTGGTGATGTTATTTTCCTCATTCGATAAAAAATACAAATATACAATAATACATACTTGTATTAGAGTACCTCGTCTTCATCAATTAATCGTATATATCTATATCGAGTACTCTGTATTTATCTAAACTTAATTTACGAGTGTGTATGAACTTATTTGAACTCACACGAAATATTATTTTAAAGTGCATTATGTTCAAAATAAGATATTTATGTCTAAGTAAAATTGCCGTTATAAAAAGCAATGCTATTTTTTTATAGGCTAGTACATTCAAGAATAATGTTATTAAAATCGAGAAATATATAACTGCTTTAATAATTTCTTAATTCCATGAACTTTCAACCTCTTAAATATATATTTAATACTAAATATCCCTACTAATCTCACCCTTTTATCATCCCTTATAAAATTAAACCATTATGCACCACCAAATCCATGGTTTAGATCAATGTTGATACTCCATTATCATTATTATTCAAATCTTGAAAGTGTTAGTGAGTGCAAAACCGCTAAAGCTTATGATGTGTTGGACGATATTCATTGGATGTTTATTTTAATATGGCTTATATAATAAAGTGTATAGAATTATAAAATTGAAGGAGTAAAGAGTATAATACGTACAAAATAGAGGGTCTCAATCTCAATAATAAGCAGTCAAATATGTCAAACTCTTCTGGTAAGTGTGGGCCACAAATTATTGTCTGTTTTAAGCAGTCGTCTTGAACTGTTCTTTGTACGGAAATCACAATTGTCCAATTAATTATCATAAATTCTCTAATCGTAGTTTTTTAATCCATTAAAAACTACTACAGTGGCATAATATATTTACAAATATATTTGTTAAACTCATTTTAACATTTTGAGTATACTCTAGTGCTTTGCAAAATGCCCTAATAAAGTACAATTTCATATGCAAGTATAACATATACTACCTCCGTTATATATTATTTGCAACGATTTGACATAAAGTAGTATATGCCTCTTATATTTCTCCACTTATAAAAGAACTTCTATATGCGATGAATGTGAAAATTATAATGATACTTATTATGTGATGTTTCCTTATAACTTGATAAATTGATGTTGATGTTTTTGGTGATATTCTAAATTATGTATGCATATTATGGGTGTAAAAATATCAAGTGCTACTCATCAATCAATTTCATTTACTAGTATATCAATTTTGTGTTTGACAACAATTAATCATTGTGTACTTATAAATCTACATGATACGTCGATCACTTGAAAAACTAACATAATGTCTCATCAATTAATTGGTAATATTAGTTGTCGGCCAATATAATTAGTTGTAACTTGTAAGCAACTATATATATATCAAACATACATATACTTGGTAAAATCAAATCAATCTTTAATTTGCATTGGTTATCCCATATAACATGCATAACTAACAAACAAGCAAATTAAAGAGTGAGAACAAGCAACTGTAGTCTTTCCAGATCAGTTGGAAGTTTGAAACACGATTAAACGATGACAAAAGTGAAAAATCTCGAAGCCAAAAGACAACAACAAATCTAACATGCAAAAAGATATTTATAAACTATGGCCAATGTTCGGATCTTACTGCACTATATACATATACTTCGCATAGTATTTCACTATCAATTTATATAGATTTAGAGCCTGTTCTCATACGTTTATTTTCATTTCATTTCAGTTCAGTTCACTTTCTAATTTCCTTCTCTTATAAAATATTCAGTTCAGCTAAATTCAATCAACGAGAACAAGCCCTTATTATTTTTTTTTTATTTCCTTAATCTCTTTATCAAACCATTTAAGTAAAGTAGGAGTTATCCCTTTATCAATTGACATAAAAAGTTATAAAAATGGAAAAAACGAAGAAAGAGTTACCTCAGAAATCCAAAGAGCTACTTCACACTATTCCCTTTTTTTTTTTTTTTTTATTAACAAAAAGAATTATCTTATTAGACCGAAACCATTCACAGGACTATCCTGCGGACTAGACGACACAAGAAAATGGCCGGAGTATGAAAAATCTTAACCCTCAGCGCCCTTAGTGGAGATTGAACCCTATTCTCAAAGAATAAGAATCTATTCTTTTCAGCTTACTTTCAATTCAGTTCATTTTATTTCCTAATCTCCTTATTTTATAAACAATTCAGTTCAGCTCAATTTAATTTAATTCAGCTTAGTAAACCAAAACAGACCCTAATTGTTAATATGTTCAAATCTTACCACTAGGTCAAACTTTAGTCTTTTACTCCATACAATATATTGACATACATACACAGACATTTTTAGAATGTATCGAGTATTTTATCTTTATTTTTTAAATTTTAGTTTAAATTTAGAATAATAGGTTCGTAAAAAGAAGAGAAAAATGGTAATAGTAAAAGAGAGGGAAGTATTTAGGTGAGCAAGACAAGTCAAATCATAAAGGGGTAGTGAACCACTGTTTTTTTCGGCACTTGCATTTATTAATCATTTACTCTTTTTTTCTTCTTCCTTCCTCTTTTTTTTTTTTTTTTTTTTTTTTTTTTTTTTTTTTTTTTTTTTTTTTTTTTTTTTTTTTTTTTTTGCCTTTGCATTGCGTGCTCCCCGGCCTCCTCTTATTTTACTCTATCAGAGAATTCTAATTCTATTATATGTGGTCTCAATTTATACAGTACATAATTTTATTACCACTGAATTAGTAACTTAGAATTTTCCACATTTATCAGCTCTGTACGCCTTTTTTCTTTTTATTATTTAAAAAATATGAGTACAAATAAAAGTCTTACTTCACACACCATGCCATTTTTATTTGCAAAAGAAATCAACCTTTTTTTCCTAAGCTAAACTAAATAAACTATTATTTTAAAAAGAAATATATTGAAAAACACAATAAGATGCTCATATATATGATATGCATCTAATGTATATGTTGTAACTAAGCTAACATCACCCATCTCATAAATAAGCGCAAGTACTACACACCTCACTTAATTAGGTTTTATTCTCTTCATCTTTTCTTATTATAAAATATTTAAAACTAAGGTCAAAATTCAAACAAATTAGAACAATACAATTTTTAAAAACTGTATGAAATACATGTTACACTTGTATAATTAATGCATATAGTCGTGTAGCTCATGTACAAGACACCACCGACAACATACCAGTATATCATATCAGTTTTATAAGCGCAAATACTACACACCTTACGTGACTTGTATAAGTGGTGTGTGCAACAACCAACGGCAACAATCTCATAACCACATATTTGATGAGTACAAGTACAACACATACAAGTGAGGTCTACCTTGTTATTAGTCTTATTACTCCTCCTTTCACTCAATTAATTGCCCCCATTTTCCACGAACAAATCAAAAACTCACACCCCTCCAAAACACTCATTTTAAACCCTTTAACCTTAACCTTCACTTTTTATATATTACCTCCGATTTTTTTTTGTGCAACTTAGGGTCTGTTCATATTTACTGAATTGAGCTGAAATGAACTGAACTACACTGATTGGAGCTGAACTGAACTGAACTGATTGGAGCTGACTGAATTGAACTGAATTGGACTAATTGGAGCTGAACTGAATTGATTGGAGCTGACTGAATTGAACTGAATTGGACTAATTGGAGCTGAACTGAATTGATTGGAGCTGAACTGAACTAAAATTAAGTAAATGTGAACATACCCTTAACAGTATTATTTGTGAGATATAAAAAATTCCAAAATTGCACATAAATAAAATTGAAGGTACTATTATTTTTATTTTTATTTTTTGTTTTTTTACCACAAATATAAATTAAACCCACCTCAACTTAGCTCAACTCAAGTCTTCCACTCTTGTATCTTCTTGTTACTTCATTCCTCCAAAACTCACAAAAAACAACCAAAAACTTGTTCTAATCCTCTCTCATTCTACCAAAAATGGAAACCTCATCAAACATTACAACTCTTCAACAATTCAATAACACTACTACACTCCTCTCAACCTCCTCATCCTCCTCCCCATCATCACCATCCTCCTCCTCCTCGATAACCCTCTCTCGATACGAGAACCAAAAACGGAGAGACTGGACCACCTTCGGACAATACCTAAAGAATCACCGGCCCCCTCTCGCGCTCAACCGATGTAGCGGGGCCCACGTATTGGAGTTTCTACGCTACCTTGATCAGTTCGGAAAAACTAAGGTGCATAATCACATGTGTCCGTTTTACGGTCACCCTAACCCACCTGCCCCCTGCCCGTGCCCGCTCCGTCAAGCGTGGGGATCGCTTGACGCTTTGATCGGACGGCTCAGAGCTGCTTACGAAGAAAACGGGGGTAAGCCCGAAATGAACCCGTTTGGGGCCCGTGCTGTACGGCTCTACTTGAGGGAAGTTAGGGATTCTCAATCTAAGGCGAGAGGTATTAGTTACGAAAAGAAGAAGCGTAAGCGGGTCCCACAGTTAGTTCATAATAATACATCAAATTAACAAATCTTTGGTAATTATTTTATGTTTATTGGAAATTATAATTATAATTATTAGCTAGAGTTGTAGTGAACTAGTAGTGTTTGTTTGTTGTTATAGTTTATTAAACTATACTCCGTCCGTTTCAGAATAATGTTTACCCTGTTCGCGATCTGTTAGTTATGGATTGCGAACAGGGTGATTAATTAATTATGGCAAGGGCGGGAGGCTTGGGGAGTGGTATGGGTTGGGTAAGTGGATTATTAGGGTTAGGTTATTATCAATGGATAAAAGGAGTTATTTGAATCAGCAATCCGATGTTTTATTTAATGGCAATGGCAATTGTAATTGTATCTTCATCTAATATATCTAATTTATTTAGTCAAGGATCTTTGTAATTATAATTGAATGGTTGCTTAGCTTGTTGTTTTAATTAATCAAAATTAAAAATCAAATTTGTATGAATGAATGTATGATAGAAGAATGTGAATTAGATGGTAAAAAAGTGACAAGACAAGTTGGGTAAAATGAGGAAAGTTAAGAAAGAAAAGAATAGATAAATCCGTAAGTTTGTCAGTAACAAAGTACTGCTCATAGAACAACAGAAGCAAAAGGGTAATCCATTTTTTGGTTTTTCCTTTTTATTTCCCCCCTTCATTTCTGCAAGTATGTCTACCTTTGCAAAATTTTTTGTCATCATTTCTTTTTGATTTGTTGATTCAAATTGTGTTGCCATGATGGGTAATTTAGGCAATGTTGTTTTCACCAAGATGTTTATTTTGCGATATTTAAGGTTTGATCTGATCTAATCTGACTTGGACTATTATGGTTTTGCGTGGAGTTAATTGGTCCGATTTCAATCATAAATATACAAATTAAAGATTTGGTCTGTTTGATTGTTAAAGGTGATAATATGTACCATGATATGCATTAGGTCTAATTAAAATTTACTAAAAATCACTTAGTGTTCCATTGAATCCCAATAAAGTCATAAGGCCATTTGAAGCACAAATCTTTATCTATTTGCATTTTGTTCCAATTGAAAAATATTCATCTATCTTTAAGGTCATTTGTTTAGATGAATTAGGGTGGATTTGTTATGAGGTTCCAGTTAGGTTTTTTTTTTTTTTTTTTTTTCCCATATCAATTAACACAGAGAGAATTGAATTATTCCCAATGAGAAATGCATAGCTTGATTATCAATTGGATCTTATTCATCCAAGTAACTTTTTTTTAAAAAAAAATAAAATTGATTAACTAATTAATTATTTGATTAATTGGTGATTTGTGATAAAGTTTTTGTTGTGTAATTAAGAGCAATTTCCCGGAACTTTCAGTCATCAAAAATTATAATTGTATCATTTGTAAGTAGTAATGTCTAATCACTTAGGAGAATGCGATAATGTGCCCTCTTGTACTGTAATCCAACGAAAGTTAGTGGTTGTTAGCTACTCTCATAACCTTATTACTTGATGATTTCAAAAAGACTTGAATCTTCTGTCTTTTTGAAATGAATTGGTTAAGTACAATAATTAAATGATATATTAGCTAATTAAAGAGAAACGACTGAATATATAATCACATAATTTATTTTAATCAATCTGGCCGACATCACTTTATATTATCCTATATATTTGGATGTGGCACTAATTATTGTTAGATTTCATGATTATGTTGTGCTTAAAGTGTCAACCTTGTTTATTGAAAAATACTTGTAAAACTTAGGATCTGTTCTCGTACGTTTATTTTCAGTTCAACTAAGTTAAGCTCAGTTCAGTTTAGTTTAGTTCAGTTTAGTTCCTTCTCTTATAAAATATTCATTTCAATCCAGCTCATCTCAGTTCAGTTCAGTTCAGCCGAGTCTAGTCTATAAGAATAGGCACTTCTCCACTCTTTTGTAAATGAAAGTTAATACTCGTATTGTACTATTACGCATTATACTTTTTCTAATTCTTGTGATTTATACATACTTAAGCAATAGCATAGTTACATCCGTAATATGTACTTTAATTGAAATCTTCTTTAAACTTGTAACAATGTTAAATTTGAATCATATACTGAGTAATTAACTTTAATAATTGTGCATTAACAAGAATAACGGAAAAAGTATTGAAAGGCCAAGAAACTATAAAATCGGGACCATGAAGGTAAGTACCCCTCTATGAGGAGAAAAAGCCCTACAAATGAAATGAGTGGGGCGATCCCTAAAGAAAAGGGACACTTGAGTTTCCTTAAACCCGTCAACCATTAGGAAGGCCCTAACAAAATCCAAGCTTCCATAATTTGCCTCTTAATTTTTTATCATTAATTACTTAGCTTGTCTGATATCTTGAGGCCAAGCATCAGCTTGAAATATGATATATGGTATGTAACTTGTTTAATACGATGTACTCCGTAGTCTGTACGATAACAACAATCGATTTACACGAATTGGATTGGCTTGACACAAATTGGTTTTAGCTAGGTTTAGTTGGCAAGTCGATAGATATACCAATAATGGTCTTCATATTGATGATTATGAATACATTTATATGTTTTGTTGTCTTTAACTTTAATAATGGAAAGTTACATGGTTTAATATACATACATGTACTCCATATTATTTTCAATTTCATCCGAATTGCAAATTTGAATGAATATTATATATATATATATATATATACGGGAGGGTTCCGCTAAAAACAGGGCTTATGGTGAAAACTAAAAACAGCAAATCTCAGCCATTGATTATTAATGATATAATCTAACGGTTGAAATACAAGGTACACAAAATCTTAGCAAATTTCAGCAAATCCTCTGTTAATTTTGCTGAAAAACGCAAAATCTCAGCAAATTTCAGCAAATCCTCTTTTCATCTCATTATCAAATCGTCAATTCCTCAATTCGTCAAATTTTAGGGCTACTTTGATTATTTACTCCCAAAATTGAGGGCTCGTGATTCTTCAATAATTTGGGGCTTCCTCAATAATCTTAGTAAGTGTTCTTCATTCTTTAATTTCTGTTTTTAGCTGAATTTCTAGTTGATTGCGGCTTACAATACCGATATAACTGTGATTATTTCCTTGTATATAAGCTGAATTTCTTGAATTTCTATTTGATTGCTCTGTTTTTTAGTTTCAATCTCATCAACTTGTAGTTTCAATCCTCATCAACAATATGCTCTTTTTTCGTTTTTGTATAAATATTTGCAATATATATATATTTTTTTTATATTAAAGTTTTTTTTTCCTGGATATATGATATTAAACACTAGGAGAAATTGTTGCACATAAGGTGTTTGTGTATTTGCTTAAATGACTAACACCTTGCTTAATACGATATAGTAACTCTTTTTTATGATACCATAACCATATATTTTAGACTGTTTTTGTTGGTGTCCAGTTAGTTGCACCATGGAATGGATTATTTTATTATAGTACCCATTTTAAACCATATATTTGATATTATATGCAGACAATGCAAGAGGAGTCAGAAGAAGGTAGTTACTCAAATACATCTACAACTACCAATGTTGCTGAAAACTTACCGTCACTAAAGGGCCCAAGTGTGTGTTACACTCCCAGAGGAACAAAAGAGTTTATACCGTGTTGTCCCCCTGAACTAAAGCCTACACTTGGTATGCTTTTTGATTCCTTACTTAAAGGTGTTGATTTTTATAAGCAATATGCTAGATTTGGTGGGTTTGTGGTAAGACTAGGTACTGAAAAGAGAATTAAAGATAGTGATAAAGTCTACTTGAAATATTTACATTGTAATAAACAAGGGTTTACGAAGGATGGTGAAACTAAAGCAAAAGTTTCTAACAAAGATAAAAATCCTAAAGCTAGAAAAAGAACCATAAATCGTGTTGGATGTAATGCAATGATTGGGTTTAGAGAACGTTCAGATGGAAAATGGATGGTTTATGTCTTTCATGAATCTCATAGCCACAATCTTGCTTCTCCCAACACAATGAATTTTTTGGCAAATGTTGGAAACCTTAAACTTGGCCAGAAAAAATTCATTTTTGACAACTCTAGATTGAACATTGGTCCAAACAAGTCTTATAAGTTGATGAAAGAACATCTTGGTAGCTATGATAATATAGGTGCAACATTGAATGATTTCAAGAACTTTAATCGAGACTTGAAAGCTTACATACAAGAGAAAGATGCTTCGATGTTTATAAACAATTTGAAAGAAAAAGCTGAAAACAGTGAAGGTGCCTTTTTCTTTGAGCATTGTATGGATGAACATCAACGCTTGACAAGAGTATTTTGGGCAGATGCAATTAGTAGAAAAAATTATTCGTTGTTCTGTGATATGATTACATTTGATACAACATTTGACACCAACAAATACTCTATGGTTTTTGCCCCATTTACGGGTGTTGATCACCATGGTAAGTGTGTGACTTTTGGGATAGGCTTACTTGCAAAGGAGGATATTGAATCCTTTGAATGGTTATTTGAAACTTTCTTAAAGGCAATGAATAACTGTCAGCCTACCTGTATCATGACAGATCAAGACCCTGCGATGAAAGTGGCAATTGAAAAAGTTCTTGATAAGGCAAAACATAGGTTTTGTATGTGGCACATTATGAAAAAAGTGCCACAAAAGGTAGGGCCCAAATTATGCTTAGAAACTGATTTTCTTCATAAACTAAACTCTGTTGTGTGGAATAGAGACCTTGAACCAGAAGAATTTGAAATTGGTTGGCAGTCTGTGATGTCTGAATTTGATTTAGTGAATGAAGATTGGTTCAAAAATATGTATAATATAAGGAATATGTGGATTCCTTCCTACTTTCGTGACCTTTTTATGGGTGGGATTTTAAGGTCAACTCAAAGATCAGAGAGTGAAAATAGCTTTTTCACTAATTTCACCAATCAGCATTTGTTATTGGTTGAGTTGTGGTTTCGCTATGAATCTGCAATCGATGCTCAAAGGCACACACAAGACAAGTTGAATGCTACTTCAAAAACTACACATCCCCAACTTGTCACCCCCCTGTACTTGGAAAAGCATGCTGCATTTGCTTACACTCATAATGTATTTTACATATTCCAAAAGGAATTCAAGCATGCTTTGTACAATTGTGGTATAAGTAATGTTACCATCAAAGAAGAAGAAGGGATTGAGCAATATAGAATTGTTGACAACACAAGGAAAAAAAGCTATCATGTCACATATGTTTTGTGTTCTAATGATGCTTCATGCTCTTGTAAAATGTTTGAATCTGTTGGAATATTATGTCGTCACATTCTCTTTGTCATGAAAGGAAAGTTCTTATTTGAGATTCCAAGGCAATATGTTTTACATCGTTGGACTAAAGAAGCTATGAAGAAACCAATTTTTGGCTTAAACAACTTGCTTGATGGGGCAGAGAAGGATAAGAAGCAAAAGCTAGTTGGTGATTTATGGTGCAGGTTTTTTTCATGTGTAAGTCTTTGTGAGGAGAAAGTTGAATGCCTAGAGTCATTGTTGTCTAAGCTAATATCTTTTGAAAATGAGATGAAAGACTTGGATTCTATAAGTCCAGTTGATAAACGTGAGGCAAAAAATAAACACATCGAATTATTTGTTGGATCTAATGACATAGTTGTTGATATTCTTCCTCCAAACAAGTCTTCCAACAAAGGTAGTGGTAGTGGAAAAAGGAAAAAATCTGACAAAGAGATAGCTATTGAGGAAAGCCAAAGGAAAGATAGACTTTGTAGAACTTGTGGTCAGAGAACAAACCATGATAGTCGGAATTGTCCGCAAAAAAAATCCAACTTGAATGAGGTATTTTTGTAGAAAAAAATAAATAAATTTTGTACTATGTTTACTTCCCACTAGATTTTCACTTTATATATGTTCGTGTACATGATTTCAGGATTTCAAAGAAGAGTAGAAAGGCTGCAAAACCACTTCATATTTACAAGAAGCAACATCGGCTACTGACAGCCTAGTGCTGAAATAGAGGAGATGAGAGGAAAGAAAGAACATAGTGCTATAGTGCCCTTTTTATTGATATAGTGATTGTTATTGTTTCACATATATTAAACAGGGACCTTTTATTGCTCAAATTTTATTGATAGGGTGACCTTTTATTGTTAAACTTTTTATTGACCTTTATATTGTTATTTTGATGTAGTGACATATTGACATATGATAACTTCAATTTATATTATAGTATGTGTTTTTAACGTCATAGTGACTTTTTTTCATCGTATTGACACCTTATTCCGTGATAACCTTTTTAGTGATATAATGACCTTTATTATGATATAACAACCGTATAAAAAATACTCACATTTTAACAATTCTTCTAATCCACATCGATTAAGCCAATACAAAGTTAGGGAAGGAGGGGCTCGTTCTTTTAATTGATATACTAAATGAATAGCTTAAGAATAGATTAATATAAATACGACACTTTTACCTTACATAGTGACCTTTTATTTAAATAGAGACAGATTATTATAGACATCTTTTTTATCACATAGTAACGCTCTTGCATCTCATAGTGATCCTTTTGCATCGCATAGTAATTGGAAATTTTTACCTCATATAATGCCATTTTACTTACATAATGACTATAAAAAGTAATATAATATCCTTTTTCAAGTTTTTCTTTTCTTTTTTAAGAGATAAAAAAAAAGTTAGACATTTTTAGGTACATATTTATCATAGGTCCTTTGAAAACTTGTCACATATGTATACAAAATATAATAATGAATATGGTGATAATTTTGCATTATAACTTAATTATATATAACACATTGAACTAATAACATTTTAAATACATAGTGACCTTATAATATAGAAACCTTTTAAATAACATAGATACCTTTTTAAATACATAGTGACCTTATCATATAGAAACCTTTTTAAATAACATAGGTACCATTTTTTTATAACATAGGCGCCAAATTTATAACTAATATATATTTCACTAAACTTTCTTGAATGTCAATTAAAGATTACATATCAAAAGAACTACCAATACCACCAATTCAAAAGCTTTGTATGAACTGGAATCATATCATATTGTTCTATATTAACACTTATACAATTTTGTCAGATTATCCATTTGTTGATGCAAACTACATCATTACATTAGATTTCCTACTTCTGTGCAAAATACAAATACTTCCGAGCAAAAAACTTCATCCACATATTCGTTAGTCTGCCTATACTTTCTTTTCCTTTTTACCTTGCTTTGTTTTCTTCTTAATCCCATCAAAAACATCTTTTGCAACTTGACTCCTTATTAATCTGAATTCAGATAGCTTTTCAAGAACTTCATCTCTGACAATGTTCATATCAGATAATACCAGAGTAGCAGCAATCTGAGCTCTCAATGTCCGTCTAGTTGAAACCTAAATTTAAGCAAAAATTAGAATAAAAAAGCTAGTTAAATTCCATGGAGGAAATAGTTAATATAATAAAAATTGAAAGCCAAATAAAAAAAATGAGACGAGATAACCGTTTTCAAAACATTGCAGTCGAACACATCAGCTCCATCAAAGTAAAGCATGCTGACCATAGTATAAATGCCACTATCATTATTCTTCTGTTTTCCAGACTTCCAATTTACAGAAGGTGACTCCAAAGTATACTCAATCATGTTCTTCACTGAGTCATTACTTTGAGGAAGGCGTTGATCAAGAAAAGTACTCAGCATATCACTCTAGGCAAAATAAATTAATACTTTAGGTTCCATGAAGCATATCCTAACTAGAAAAATACAAATAAAATCCAAAATATCATATTTTTACCAGAACATCAGAGAACTTCTCAACCTCACTCATGTACTTTGTATCATAACTCATATTATCTATGAACTGAAGCTTTTCTTCCTTCAAATTCACAACAATTAGGAAAAAGTGTTCATTCAAGAGTATAGGAACAAATATCTGCAATAAATAAATAAACAACTATTAAGCTTGAAAAACTTAATATAAAAGTACTTAGTTGAAAAATGATTGTCAACATTTGCAATGTATTACCAACTCAACATTTGCAATATCAAAATCATTGCAAGGAATGAACAACCATCTTGACCAAATGTCAAATAGCTTGTCAATGTCTTGTGTGTTACTATCTGTGTTTGCAACTTTCAGTAAAAAAGCCTAAAAAAGAACAAACATTAATAAATATTAAAAAAATTAGAAGGTAGAGTTATTTTTCTTAAATGTAATTACTTGCATTACATAGTGACTGTTTTCATTGCATAGTGAAATTAATTTATGAATCATAGTGACTGTTTTCAATACATAGTGAAATTAATTTATGAATTTTTTATAATGAACAACTACCATTATAATGATGTAGTAACTAAATAGCCGAAAGATACTTACACTTTGAGAAACACCAAAATATAGTTTTTGAGGTCCATGTGCACTACTCTTCTGGTTTTCATTAAGCAACATAGCCCAACAATCAATAATAACAGAAGATATAGCAATAGCCGGTGCACCTAATGAAAGGAATTCATTCCTTGTAATCTCAAATGGTTTGCCAAAAGATACCAACACCTCACTGTACAAGGAAATAAAAAGACACATGTATATTAACATAGTCACTTATTATTAAAATTTGAAAATAAATAACAAAAAGAACAATGACATGACTTACTTGAGATCGAAACCATGATAATCACTAATGCAGTAGTCAACAAGTTCCTGGACAACTGCATCCAAAACCTTCATATCCTTATTACTTGACTTCATATATTCAGTTACATATGTAACTTTATCACCAAAGAGACTAACATCCATAGCAAGGGAGCATTTAGATTTTCCATTACTCAAAACATGCTCAAAACCTATCCTTGGAACCTCACCAACTACAACATTAATCTCTTTTGCAGGTGCACCATTATCATCAATATCATCATCATCCAAACCATTAGGCACTTTGCTTACCCAATTTACAAGAGACACAATCTCATCAACAATTTCATGAACACGAGGATTCATAAAGAATAAATCAGTTTGGGACATTGGAGGTGTCGAAGTTGAAGCATCATTAGATTTACGAGTCTGAAATAACACTTTCAACTCATTCATGTAGAAGTTAGATACCACTTCTAAATCTCTTTTCATGAGCAAAAACTTCTCATAAACTTCCTGTGAAAAAAAAATGTACCACTTAGATTTAATAAAATAATTTGTGACAAAAAAAAAAAAAAAGAAAGAAAAAACCAAACAGACAGACAGAATTAAAGGGTAAAATACTTACATCAATAGCAATTGAACGGATTTCCTCATTAGACATTGAACTGGCAGGTAGCTCAAACTGAATAACACCCTTAACATTGCTACGGACACCTTCATAAACAACAGATTCTTTTCCAGAAGTTTGATTCACAGGAGCTTCCTTGAATTGATTACAAACAACTTGTCCATCCTCAAATTGCAACTTCTCACTCACTGGATATGTATCAAACTCAAGAATTCCACACCCAAAACCCTTGGACAACTTTTCATTTCTAATTCTATCTCTTATATCCACATCAGTCCAATGTTGAATTAAAGGTATTGTAGAATTTAACACAACATTCCTAAACCTCAATCGATGAAAATAGATAATCTCTAACATCAAAACACAACCACAAAACCATTCTATATTTCCTTCTTTGTAGCTCTTCACAGCTTCACAAAGTCTATCTAAGACATATTTTGACCAATTATAAATTCTTATTTGATTAACATCAACCAAACATTTTACAATTCTCAAATCCACAGTTCTGTTGGACGTAGGTGCTAAAAAACTTGAAAAAGCATGCATGATAAAAAGCTGTCTGAATTCTTCCCCACCATCTACTAGTAAAGGGATCTTAGATTCCAAAAAACCCAAAGGAATCTGATCATTCTCACCCATAAGACCAAAATGAGACCTCCATTTAACCTTTAAATCATAATCAGGGTTGATGACATTAGCACAACGAGAAATTTCTTCAACTTTCTTAGATGTTTTGCAAGGAAGGCAAAAAACATCATACACATCAAATTCAGTCACAACAAAATCTTTTTTACCATCAATAGTAAACATGCAGCTACCATGATCAAAACAATCTACCAACCATGATAGCATATCAGTTGCAGTTCGTTTCACCTTCAAAGATAACAAACCTCCAAAGCCAATTTCTTTAACAGCCTTGATTTGATCATCTGAAAAAGTTTTAATCATCTCTACTAAATGAAATGGCCTGCAACGTGTTTTAAATCCTCGTTGCACCCTGTAACAAGACATACGAAAAGATAAACAAAAGAAACCAAAATAGTAGCCTCTTTTTATAGCATAGTGACCTTTTTTTTAAACAAAACTTCAAAAAAAAGAAACAAATATTCACTTACATATGTACATCACTATCTATGATTGCAGATTCTTGCCTATGAATCACAATGTTCTTATCCTTATTTGCCTTCACTTTCTTCACTTTAAGACCTTCATTTTCATCCAACTTTCTCTTCTTAGCTGGCAAAACAATAGCATGTGAAGAAGAAGACTTATTCCCCTTCTTTCCTTCCATCACAGTTGACAAAGGTATAGCATTCTCAATGTTAGAAGGTTTCTTTTTCTTAGTGATAGCTTTCTTTTTCAATCCTTTTTCAATACAAGCATCTTTATCTCTGTTAGTATCATCATCGATCATTTTGCTTCCATCATCAATATGCTCTTCGTCTTCATGATCGAGATTGATACATGCTAAAAACACGCAAGCATATAGTTATATATACAATTATCTTCATTTTAATCTAGCAAACAATTATAATATAGCAAACTAATAACTTAAAAATAATAATCATTGTCATTGATATAGTGACCTTTTTCAGTTACATAGAGAACTAATAATATAGTAACTTTTATATTAATATAGGGACCTACATTCTATAGTATTAGGAGACTATCATAATAGAGCAACTAGTATATTAAGGTTAATAATCCAAAAATCAAACATTCATCATACCTCCTGTATCTTTCAATTTAACTCCTCCTGTTGAGCTACGAAGGCCTCTCCTTTTTTTAAAAGTAGCACCACCTCTAGTTCTCACCATAGTTATAAAATCTAATCCAAATCGAATGAAAATCCTTGTTGCACCCTGTAACAAGACATACAAAAAGATAAACAAAAGAAACCAAAGTAGTTGCCTCTTTTTATGGCATAGTGACCTTTTTTTAAAACAAAACTTCAAAAATAACATAGTCCAACACCCCTCCAAAAAGATTCAGTTTATTTTGGTTTGGTTTAGAACAAGTTCAGGTCATATTCATATTTATGTCTTTTGACAACCAATTTGTTTACGAATAAAAAAATCAATTCAAGTCAGGTCAGGGCAGTGAAAATCAAATCAAACTAAGGTATCCAAATCCTCGAATTCTGGCTACCTTGATTCAAGTTCAAAACAGGCCTAATTTAGAAATTTTGAAGCAAAATCCAGTACAGAGTCAAATTAACCATGCACATATGTCAGACTAGAAGTACACTTTTCAACAGTCAAGAAAGTCATGTAGATGTCGATTTAGCATGATCAGAAGCAATCTATCACAAATCCACCCCAGATGTTTGTTCCTGGGTTAGTCGCTTAAGCAATCTGCTCTCAACACCAAAAATCGGACATATAGAATCAAAGTCAGTATCT